AAAACCCTGAATTCCTTGGAGGAAGACAGCTGTGACTAATTAAGTAAGCCCAAACTCCTTTAGAGAGCTGCAGTGTAATGTTATGCATATTTAGTCCTGCTGTGTTAATAGGATTTCCTGACCGTTTTCGGCTGCAGGGTTGTATAATCGTATACATGATGCCCTGGGAGTAAGTGACTGTCTCCTAGAGAGGCATATAGGGTGGAAGTGGGCAATGTGTCAGTCTCCAGAGGTTATTGGACTGCAATGTCCAGCCGTGCTAGCCTGCGTCGGCTATGGTGAGGTGACCCGGGACCTGCAGTCCACAACAGGTGCCTTCCATGAGTTTCTCACCCTGATGTCTAGAACGGCAGCCTTTGCACATTTACCTGAAGAGTAAGCCTCCATTGAATTTAAGTGCACAAAATGCACTCTGTTGGCTTGCACACGTCTTAGGAAATCTGATTTCTGGGATTGCATGGGATTGCATTCTTAATGTAGATATTCTTAGAACAATGTAACACAACTCCTTTGGGTGGTTTTCATCTCCGTGGCCACGTTCCCTCTCTCGGGGACCACATGTTAGTGGTGAAAGAAAAGGGCGCTGAGCCCGAGGTGCTGCCAGCAATTCAGGTCTTGATAATAAGCCTCCATTGAATTTAAGTGCACAAAAGGGACTCTGTTGGCATGCACATATCTTAGGAAATCTGATTTCTGAGCCAAAGTGCATGGGATTGCATTCTTAATGTAGATATTCTTAGAACAATGGAACACAACTCCTTTGGCTTGTTTTCATCTCCGAGGCCATGCTCCCTCTCTCGGGGACCACATGCTAGTGGTGAAAGAAAAGGGCGCTGAGCCCAAGGTGCTGCCAGCAATTCAGGTCTTGATAGGTTGATGGGAACAGAAAGGAGAGAAGAAGAAAAAAAGTCAAAGCTAGCAATTAATGGAGAAGAGAATGCTTTAAGGTGACAGGCGTGTGTGTGTGTTTTCTGGGCTGCCTTCTTTCCGCTACTAGCCTTCACCAATCAGGGGCCTTCCAGATGGAGAATTTAGCTCCCATTCTCCTCAGTTAGCAAAGGCCATCAGGGGATGTTGGGAGCTGCAATCCAACACAAACCGGAAGGCATCCATTTTGAAAGGGAGGTGGAAGTGACTTTTTACAGATCTGAGGCCAACAATGTTGACTCACAGCTAACGGTGCAATCCTGCGCGTGCCTGCTCCAGACTAAGCCCCATTCAGCTCACTGAGGCTGACTGCCACGTAACTGTGCAGAAGATCGGAGAGCAGCTAAATTGAAAAGGTGTCTTAAGAGTAAATGCACAGCAGAATGCGCCTTTGGCTTGGCCTCTGCTTACATTTCACATCAAGCGAGAGGCAGGCCCTATGATCCAGTGGCTGCTTCCAGCTGCAAAAGCTTTCATAGCGACAAGGATGCTCTGTGTACCTCCTTCCACCTCCCTGCTCTGAATGTACGTGTGTGAGCGAGTAAGAATACCCCAGAATATATGGCTCCAGGGATGCCTCTGCTCCACTTCTGAAGTATTGATGTGCCAGTTTTCAGCAGAATAACTCTGTTGCTATTAACGACCTGAATTCAATTGCTAGTGCCAATGAGTCAACCGGCTGCTGTGCTAACTCCGTCGACACAACTGCATCCTGTTGATTCCATGACTGGAACTTGCTGGGTTTACACCTAAGCAAACATCTGGCCATTCGGGACACTGCTGAAAAAGACACTGAAAAACTTTGATTCTAGTGTGATGTTGATGTTGATGATGATAATAATAGTAATAGTAATAAGGGTAAGGTGACTGGAGAGGTCATACTCTTGGATATTCCAGAGGTTGGAAATAAATTCTTGAAAATCATGTTAAGAACCCTGCTTTTCAACAACAGTTTTTTAAAAAAATCCTGTTAATCACTAAATACCAGTGACGTTGCTTTTAAGCAAAAACTAACATTTCTCACTACTTTAATAATAATTCTTTGTTGCCTCAAAAATGCTATTCCTAATTTTAAGGAATTAAGGAATTCATTGAATGATGATGATGATAATTGTTGCAGGAGGGAGTGTCTTAACATAAATTAGTTTTCCTTGTAGTATGTTGGCATTAATGTTAATTCTTCTGTCCTGTGGGTGATGCTACGTCAGCAATGTCTAAGAGAGGACGGCTTAGAGGACAGGCCTCTGAAGGTCTTTTCTTATTTCAAGGCTACCCAGGGAAATCTAAGGTTAAAGACAAAATACAGTACCAGTAGAAGGAAAAGCAGCAGCACTTTGAATTTTCCCCTCAACAGTCCACAGAGGAGGGACAGCAAACTAAGGCTGACCTTAGAGATGACCCATGATTGGAAGAGGGAAATTCTTAACTAGTGGAAAATGTCTGAGTGTCATAGCACCAGATTTTCTCTTTTGCAGGATTATGCAAATTAGTTTGCTCTGCTTGGTGACTGGTCTTCAAGATGTAAATACAGGGTACCTTTGAAGCCTGATTTCACAAAAGTAGAAAGACTGCCTCAAGTCACTTTTTTTGTAACATCATCATGCTTTCATCTCCAGTTAAGGGGTATCATCCCTGTCTCTATTCCTGGTCAGAGCAACAGACTTACAGTTCACCTGGTCACGATTTTCCCCCACCCTGATAAGATGTATTGCATATCTACTGAACAGATTTTGTTTATTTCTAAATTTGCATCTCTGCACACGTGTGTACAGAAATTGTTCAAATCAACGTGCATCGTTTGGCAATACATTCCCCCTTTGTTTTGGCAGTAGGTGAAACAAGGGGTCACCCTTGATCAGAAAGCAATACTTTTTTCCTGTCTCTGCCATGCCACTGTCTTGGGAACCCAAATAAATTTTTCCCAACAGAGGTGTGTGTGTGTCAAAACTGCAGCATAACATTAACCTAATTTGCATTCATAGCTTCTACCATGGCAAAATAGTGTGACTGTCTTTGTGCATCAAGGTAATAAATTTAGGATATCTGGGCTCTCCCCTCCCACCCTCCAAACATGCATGTCAAGAATTCTTCACTTCTCAGGGACAGGTTGTTTCTTAATGTTTAACACCCCGGATAACTTGAGTCCAGTAAGTCGGATTAACAGCTGGTGACGAAGCTGTGCCCGTTGCCTGGAACCCCACAGAGCTGCTTTTAATCTTTCTAACGCTCAATTGGGTGGTGGGTGGGATGACGGCCCTTCCTTCCTTGGTAATTGTCATTGTATTAGCTCAGCCCTTAGCAACAACACAGCATGGACTCCCCACTTAAGGAATTGCCCAGCAGTGGTGAGTAATTTTCTCAACTACCTTTGGCTGCGGTCCATTATTTGCAATCCACCCGACAGAGAAAGATCTCTTGCTATCAGATGACAGGACAGCCCTGTCCATTGTGACATTCCTGGCACTTAAACATCCTTGTATTTCGTTTTGTTTAAAAGGAAGCTGTTACTTCCAGATCCCATTACTTCTGAAGTCAGTGTGAGACCAACCAAGGATTAATAGATTAAAGCCAGTGGCTTGGCTCTTGAATGATGGCTGTGAGGGGGAAGAGAGAAAATGTGGAAGTGGCTATATTTGGGCATCGGGGGAGAATCCGGAAAGTTGTGTTGTTGGGTCAGGTCAGAAAGAGGCATTAAGGCCGATAAAGACATTTCTGGAATAGAGAAACTGTCCTTATAGTACATACTGTTGTTTATTATGTTATGCATTCTTGCTATTCAGCCTGGAGTTGGGAATTCTCACTTAGAAGTACAGAAAGAGGCACTACTTAATTTTCAGCGAGAAACTCTTTGCACACAGACTGGGTACGTTTTGATGTCTCTCCTGCTGTCCGAAAGTAGTTTGAGTTTTATGGCTTTGTTACTAAGATTCTCTCTGTGCTCTGTGGGGGAAGTCTTCCTCAACAGCTGAGTGGGGTGGCAACATTTAGGAAAAACCCAGTGACCCTAATGAGTTTACTCAGGGCTAGCTATCAGGTTTCGGCATGGCTGGTGGTGCCAACTAGGATAGCTCAGTGAGTTGGAGCAAAGTTGGACTTTGGAGGCAGGGGTTGGGAGTTTGCCACAGTGCCCCCCCCCGGAGAAGAGCCAGGAAACTGTTTCAAGACAACAGGGGACCCGTCCGGCTATGTGGTCACGGAAAACCAAATAAGGTCAACACATCACTTTAGAGCCTGCACTGTATTGGATGAGTAGCTTTATAGGTGGTTTCTGCCAGCCCACATCTTCCTGGAATGGCAGCAGGGACCTAATCTGGATCACTTACCGCAAAGTAGGTGCCTTTCGTTGGATAGCTTGGATAACCCTGGATAGCTCAGTGGCTTAGCCAGAGGTTAGGGGTTTGATTCTGCCCCCCCCGATAGCTCAGTGGCTTAGCCAGAGGTTGGGGGTTTGATTCTGCCCCCCACCTCCTTGACAAGGGCTGGACTCAATGATCCACAGGGTCCCTTCCAGCTCTGCAGTTCAAAGGTTATTATTATTATTATTAGAGGCCAGCTCATTTGGCAGACTAAATTGTATTACCTCCTCCAGCCTCTGTTACTTTTGGCTTTCATGGAAAGGATTCAGACTCAGCGGATAGCTCAACGTCAACGGGATTAATTGGAGCGCAATTACTGAATGATTTAAGGGAGACTCTTTCCTTTGACCTTCTTCTGGAATGGCACAGTTTACGCCTCAGCTACAAATCCCTCAGGCTCCAAAGGTTTCCTGCACTTATCTCTTTCCACATTATTAAAGGTGAAGAAGCTGAAAGAGAGACAGGCAATCTTGTCTGTATAAACGATGGTCCAGGAGTTGCTTCTTTGTACATTCAACCAGCCCTGAGCGGCACAGTAAGTAAAGAAGTATGATGGGAGTTGTAGTTTCTCAGTACCTGGGGTCTTTGGGTGGGGAAGAAGCTATGGATTCTGGGTTCCTCTTTCTCAACCACCACTGCCCTTTCTCCCCCATAGCTTTAATTAAAAAAAAAAACATAGCATTTAGGATGCACTAGATCTAGTCAAAAGGTATGGATTCTGGGTTCCTCTTTCTCAACCAACTCTGCCCATTCTCCCCCATAGCTTTAATTAAAACAAAACATAGTATTTAGGATGCACTAGATCTAGTCAAAAGCCTTTGACTATGTGGACCACAGCAAACTATGGCAAGTTCTTAAAGAAAGGGGAGTGCCTGACCACCTTGTTTATCTCCTGAGAAATCTATATGTGGGACAGGAAGCAACAGTTAGAGCTGGATATGGAACAACTGATTGGTTCAAAATTGGAAAAGGAGTACGACAAGGCTGTATATTGTCCCCCGGCTTATTTAACTTACATTCAGAATACGTCATGCAAAAGGTCAGAATGAAGGAATCCGAAACCGGAATTAAGATTGCCGGAAGAAATATCAACAACCTCTGATGTGCAGATGATACCACCCTGATGGCAGAAAGTGAGGAGGAATTAAAGAACCTCTTAATGAGGATAAAAGAGGAGAGCGTCAAAAATGGTCTGAAGTTCAACATTTAAAAAAAAATCATCTTGCCAACAAAGGTCCTCAAAGTCAAAGCTATGGTTTTTTCACTAGTGTTGTATAGAAGTGAGAGCTGGACCATAAAGATGGCTGACCGCCAAAGAATTGATGCTCTTGAATTGTGGTGCTGGAGGAAGCTCTTGAGAGTCCCCTGGACTGCAAGGAGAACAAACCTATCCATTCTGAAGGAAATGAACCCTGAGTGCTCACTGGAAGGACAGATCCTGAAGCCAAGGTTCCAATACTTTGGCCATCTCATGAGAAGAGAAGACTCCCTGGAAAAGACCCTCATGTTGGGAAAGTGCGAAGGCAAGAGGAGAAGGGTATGACAGAGGACGAAATAGTTGGACAGTGTCATCAAAGCAACCAACTTGAATTTGCCCCAACTCTGGGAGTTAGTGGACGACGGGAGGGGTGTACTCTGGTCCACGGTGTCACAAAGAGTTGGACACAACTTAATGACCAAACAACAACAAAGATCTAGTCAAATCCTGAATTATTAGCCCAAAAGGCCTGGTTTAGACCAGTTTATATGGGGTGCAGATTGATCAGGAATGGTCAGGTTTGATTCTGGGGCAATCTGAAGTGGATTATAAATTAATTTGGATCCATTCCAGCACTATTTGAATGTGACCAGAATGAAAAAGGAAAGGAATGGGGCGGTCCAGAAGCTGACGCAAATGCAAGATGAGGGGAACGTTTTTGTTGGGCCACTAAAAATAAAACAAATAGCAAGCTTTCATGGATGAAATCCACTTCCTCAGGCTCCAAGGTGACCCCCTTCATGAAGGATGATGGAGAGGGAGCTTGAACTTTGAGCCAACAACTCTGACTTCTTTTCCCAACTTTAAATGTGCCTAAACACAAACCCCTGTGGTTAGCTATCTGGAATTTGCTATGTTTCCTGCCCTCTTAGGTCTGCCATGTCCCCAAATTTCATGTCTATCAACAGAAAAATAAAAATTTTACACATATTTTGGTTTTCTATTGCAGGTCAGCAGAAGGCTTTATTGATCAGTTCAGATCCAAAGGAAAAAAAATTGCTCTGGACTGAATTGGGAGCCATTTTGAAGCCCCAAATTAGATTCAGAAAACTGTATCAAGAGGCCAGTACAAAACCTCAAAAACAATAATTGTGGCAACCCCCCCAAAAAATCGGAGACAGAACCTGTCCCATTTTTAGAAGCTACAAAACAACTAAAGACTTTTTTGGTTGTTGGCTTCTGATTGGCATTTGCCACCATCCTGAATTTAATTAGGTGTTTTCCATAATCACAAAACAATTATCAGCATTTAGCAGGCTACTTTAGGGATTTCAAGTCTCCTGTCGTTGGGTTGTTAAATATCTCTCC